ATAGGTCGCGATTATTTATTTTATTTACTTTCGTAAGTACCGTCACTTAAACCTAACGTACAACGTTAGTTACGTTCGTATGTAAAGAATACTAATAATACCTACTCTCTCTCTCTCTCTATCTACTTTCTTCTCTCTCTCTCTCTCTCTCTCTCTCTCTCTCTCTCCCGGTCTTTTGCAATTTTAATGCCAAACCTCAGCAGCTTATCTATGATGGGGTTACACAAGTTGTTGTCTCTTCCAGTTCTAATTCGAACTGCTTGCTAGCTCCCACCCGTTTCTCTCGGATGCATGACAAGAAGAAAAACATATGAAGTATTATTATTAATTATCATCACCATCATCATCTATGATTTTTGTTGTTGCTGCTGCGGTATCTAGAGCTTTGAAGGTTATTTGCCCCCCAAAAGGAAATAAGTGATTAAATTGGAAGTGGTTGCATTTGTTTGTGTTGAGCAGAGGAGGAAGTACAGGAAAGGGCAAAAAAGGTAGCAGCTGCAGCCAGGAGATGGAGAGAATATTCAAGAGGTGTGGACAGGCCTTCTACTTTCAAACTTCCTGAAGAAATCTCTACAAAGGAATGATAAGGGCAACTCACATTTACATGCAAATACAGTTGTGTTTTTACTCATTCTATTTCTTCCTATCCGATTACTGTTGTAAGATATAAAATATTATGATTCATGATGCTCCCACGTTACTCTTTGTGGGGAGTCAAATGTAAAGTAAACCTCACAGATGCTGAGATGCCATTCTTCCAAAAAATTATATTTTTATAGGTTGAAGTATATTTGTGATTGGCCCCTCTCTATGTGCTATCCTGAGATTGGTTCCTGTGTGTGTGTATTTGCCAAGACTTACCCAAATTCAGCTGGAATGTGTGTATTTGCCAAGACTTACCCAAATTCAGCTGAAATCCATTTGAAGCCAGGGTAAAACTAACATCAACAACTGGTCTTAATCAAGATTCAAGATTGAATTGCATTCTGGCCCAAGTAGAGGACCGCTAGTAGTTATGTACGGTGGATTTATAGGCATTTTGGAGGAGCACCAGTGCTTCAATCTTTTATTAGGGATTTGTATGGCATCTTTTCAGCAAACACAATGGTCCTCTTACAGTTGATTAAAAGACAAAAGATTGATGTGAGCAAATCCGCCATTATGTAAAGAATGGCACACTTATTGTGAGGTAAGAGCACTGAAGACACGAAGAGAGGATTATTGCACTCTTAACTACTACTGTTGGTTCAATTAAAGTCCCAGAAAATTTTAAAAAGAAATAGAAGAATCAGTGATTTTTAGAAACAAGCGATAAAGCTGCCCCTCTCTGCTGATCTCTCTGCTGATCAAGGGGGATGCTGTACATTTAATCCCCAAAAAACATCAAGAATAAAACCTTCTCTCTTGAGGAAGCTCAAAAAGCAGGCCTTTAACACCTCTTGTAATTTACAGACACCACCCACTTTTATAATTTCAGAACTACATTTACAGCTACATGGACCAGACAACAAAGATCAACCTCTTTTGTGTAGAAAAATGGTTATAAACCTTGCTTTCTCTCTCATTATCTCACTGTAGAGGCAACATTATGGGCCCAAAGTTTGAGATGCTCTTTCATATCCATACCTTGACTCAATTCAGGAATTTTCCATTGAATCAACTTGCTCTCTGGTTTTCTCACTAACCATGCCTCTGATAAGTATGGTCTAGAAATGTTTTTATTATCTTCTTCTTGCTTCTCATTCTCTTTCTCCTTTGTCTTTACCATCCTCTGAAGGCCGGGGATGATGGATTTCAATCTAGGACTTAATTCACTCTCCTCAAATGTAAAACCCAAATCTATAAACCCTTTCAATTCTTCAAACTCCAACTCAGAAAGACTCTTGCTCAAACTCTTCTTCCCCTGTGTATTCATCTGTCTATGGATCTCTGGCCTCCCAAGTCTTGAAGGTTTGGGCGGAACCTCAGTCCTCTCCTTTGTCACTCTCCCTTCAACTTCTTTCCCGGAATATATTGTCTTCAATTTTGGTCCCTGCAAGACCGATTTAGGGGAGCTAAACCCACTTTTCAACATGGGTTTCCTGGTTTCTTGGCTTATGACATCTTTGGTGGAAAGAGGAACAGATGATAGTGGTACCCGAACCTCCAAATTTGGAGGTGCAAAAACTCCATTAGATGTGGGTTTCTCCAGAGATTGGTCACTCAACGATCTTCGATGGAGAAGAGAAATCTTGGGCTTGGTTTGTGATTCTAGAGAAATGTATTCTATTTCGTGCCCAGCCTCCGAAAACTTCTTGTGGTTCTTCTTGCGGTCCTCCTCATGCCCACCTGCAACTCCTTTTCCCTTACAAATAATCTCTGATTCGAAAATTCTCAGTGAGGGTCTGGACGGTGGAGAAGAACCCATTTCTGAATCTGTTGTAGAAAGAGAATGAAGAGGAGCAGCCATGAGTTCAGCAGTAGTTGGATGTTGGGTTTTAATGGATGAAGCTTCAGGTCGGGGGGAAGGGCAGAAGATGTTTTGAGAGAACCAGAGCAGGTCTACAAGGTCCAAGACTTGCTGTTTATCCATGAAAGAGAAGCACAGGATAATGAAGCAAAAGAAAAAGTAAGATATATGGGATGACGGAGAAAAACAGGACTGGTTATAAAGGCAGATATCAGTATATTCCTGTTGTTTACGGTTTTATTATTGATTGGAGGCCGCATAAAAAGGACCAGGTGAATGTAATTATGTAAATCAAAGATGAGTGAGAAAGTAGAGAGAGAGAGAACGACAGAGAGAGAGAGTGGGGTCACCAGGGAACAGTGATATTCGAATTTCCATTTTTTGTCAATTGCTTTTGTTTCACGTGTTTTGAGAGTTGTCTTTTGAAAAGCGTAAGCGTGTGGAAAAAGAGTGCAGCGTGTGAGAGTTTTTCCCTGTTTTGACTTTTGAAGTCTGCGCTCCCTACTGCTGGATCATGCGGTCCAGTTGATCCCTCGGGCCAAAGAGTTAATTTGGAGGAATTCTTTCGATTTTAAATTGGGGAGCTTAATGATAGATGGAGTATTTAACATTTTTCCTATTTGCAACTATACACGACCCGTTTCTTTTATAGGTATTGTGAAAATAAATTGAAAGAGATGGTAAAATGTTAAATTGTTCATCTCTAATAAGTAATTTAATAAGAGATTGTATATTAAAGACTATTTAATTTTGATACAAGAAAGTTACAATTGTTTTTTATTATTGGATGTGAAATTTTACAGATGAAAGTGCATAACAACATTCAAAAACTTCTGTTTTGGACTTTGTGTTTAGACATTCTCAACTACCTGATTTCAAAGTTTGACAATCAATAATGATTGTTACCTCTTTGTATGAAATGCAAATGATCGCATTACATAACCATTTAATAAAGTTCCCTTTAACCTTTTGGGATCCATCTAGGGATGAGCAAGAGATTAATTATAAAAAAGGAATTATGAGTTTTTAAACACACAAACCTAATCCAAAATTTGAACATCCCTGCTCAATATCTGGACGATAAATTTTGAGTCACTTTCATATCCAATCGATTTTCCTTTTCTTTTTTGAGGTTAATTAGTAGGATCAATAAACATTCCCAAAATTCAGAGTCTCGACTCTTGAGGGAGCAAAAATGAGAAATATGTTCCCGCCGGAGCAGAAAATGGTTTCACTGCACGTAAAAGTTGACCGTTAGAATGCGTGGGCGGCTACGATTTCTTTACTGGCATTGGAGATTCAGTCACAAGGAACTTTCAAATGGGCCATGTTTTAAACGGGACACACGTGTGAGGGTATAAAAAAAGTTTCCTATTTGAAACTCGTTTTTTTAGTAAATGATTCCCATTTCAAACTCACCAGGAGCTATAATTAGGTAGGGCTGGTAATGGACCCTGCGGCCCGACCTAAAAAAATGTAGAGGTTGGGCTACAAACTGTTGCCCAACGGCTGGGCTGCGGCCAGTGCTGCCCCAGTTCGGCCTGGCCGGGCCCCGGCCCTGGTCCTGTTAGACTCGGCCCTAACAGGGGCAAAGCCAGCCTTATAGGGATAAGGGTTAGGGCTACCGCGGTTGCTACCCTTATAATTAAGGCAGCCAATTTTACTCTTTTTGTTTTTTGAGGAAATTAGCAGTCAATTTTACTTGATAATTGTTTTCGACGGAATTCACTCATACGTAGGAATTAGAAAAGTAACTATTCATTTTCAAGTAAGGAGAGTTAGTACCAACTTAATCAACTTCTTCTTGTCATTAATTTCCTCCTATATTAACATGTGCATAATAACAAAATCGTGTGGGTTTATCCACCTAAATCAAATTATTTCTTCTAACAATTTTCAGGGTGCATTCTTTTAGTTTTTTCATTTTTAAATTTTATTTATGAACAAATTATTTTTCTTTATTTGCACTCAATCAGAAATTTTATTATCAATTTGGTCCTAATAGCCAATTTGCTCCTTTTTCCATTAAATTTCAAATAAGATAAGTGATAGTTAGGTAAAGAGATGGGCAGTTGCATGGGAATGGAGTTGGGGCATCAATGGTTAGGAAGGGCGGATGCCTCAACATGATGTCGCACCGGAGGGGTCGATGCCTCAACATAGTGTCCTACCGGAAGGGCCGATGCCTCAACATAACGGCCCACCATCCATTTCACTATTTGTAGATCAAACAAACCATCCATTCCCACTGTCTACATCGGGTGCAGTTTGTGCAGAGCCAAGGCTCTAAACAATCAAAGTAAAGCGCACTTTCAAATAATGTCGAGAAGTGTAGTTTCAATACTAGAAATCATTGTGATAGTCTTAAAATATAATTTTATCGTTAATTATAAAATTTAAAGTTTAAAAAATAGTGTCGATCGAGCAGATCTATGAAAATTGAAAATTGACGGTCGAAAAATGCGTTACAAGATATACAATTTTTAAAATTTGAAATCCATTTTTTTTCTCATGTCCATGCATTTTGATTTCAAGATGATCAATTTGAAGATATTTGGGCATCAAAACAACTTCTTCAATTGAAATTTTTGAGGTGAGTTCTAATTTGATTGTTTAGAGCCTCAGGTATATAAACTTTTTCCTATCATATATCCATCACAAAAAATAAAAAAAAGGTAAGCACTTGCATATTTTGGGCAAAAGTGACGTCACTAAGTGGTATGTCCCAATAAAATGGAATGTTAAAAAAAGGAAAAAAAACGAAAAAGAAACATTTGAGCCAATCCAAAGAGTAGTTCTTTAAAGTGCAACTTTTTTTTAAAAAAATCTTTTTTATATAAAGTGCAACTTGCACTCAAATATTATAATAAATAGCCATAGTCGCTGCCCCTGTCACATACCCTCCTCATGTGAGTGAGTAGCCATAAATATCACATTCGTGATTCATAAATCTGAATATTCACAACCTTTTTATTTCCTTATCCATCTATTGACGGCACAAGGGGTCAAGAACTCGGGGCAATTATCAATTCTGCCCTCCATGGGAACTAGTTTGGAAAAATTTACTAATATCTCCCAACTTTAACTTTCTAGGCATCCTCTCCCTTGCCATTTTTGATACCACTCTATAACTTTCATACTGTTTTCTTTTGCTACTACTCTCCAAGTTAAACATATGTTTTTTTTTTAAAATCAAAATACCCCCATTTTGAACCGTGTGTTTGTCACCCTTTTTTTTTTTTTGGTTATGGGACCGAAAAATGAGTCCGGCCTGGCTCACAAAATGTGTTTTTGAGCCCATGAGCCCAAGCTGTGCCACTTTTTATGCATCTCAAGTTTCTATTGCTGAACTAGGAAAAAAAAAAAAACTCCTTGAATGACTTACATAATCTGATATTTTTGATCTAAAGTTTTTGGATCCACTTTTAAACGAAAAAAATATTTTGAATTCCTAACCACCTAGACCTCTTGGACAGTCTGTGTGTACTTCTAGGGTTTATTTTTGCATTATGCAGCTCAAAGTGATTATTGAAGGTTTCCATTTTGCTTTCTTAAGAGGGTGCTAGGCTGTGTAGGTCACATCACCAAACTTCAGTCTTAAAATAGTTCTAGTACCTAAGGGAGTAAAAAGTATATTTTGCTAATGTGGGGGGCAAATAGTTTTTTTCATAAACTACTTTGGTTTCCGTTGTAGGGGTAAAATTGCATATTGACCCACTTATCCCATTAGACATGTCCTGTGAGAATTTTTTTAAATTAGGGCAAAAGGAATAAGTGAAGTATTTATTAATGGAAAAAGTTTATATAGAGCCGAGGCTCTATATAATCAAATTAGAGCTTACCTCAAAAAGTTTCTTAGAAGAAGTTGTTTTGATGCCCAAATATCCTCAAATTGATCATCTCGACATCAAGATGTATGGATATGAGAAAAAAATGAATTTCAAAATTTGAAAATAGTGCATCTTTTTAACGTATTTTTGGACCGTCAATTTTCAAGATTTTCAAGTTTTCATAGATCGGCTAGATCTACACTATTTTTTAAGTTTTAAAATTTATAATTAAAGATGAAAATATATTTTAAGGCTATCACAAAGACTTTCAACATTGAAACCACAGTTCTCGATACTATTTGATGGTGTGTTTCACTTTGATTGTTTAGAGCCTCAGCTCTATACAAACCGCATCCTTTATTAAGTGGCCACCTTTTTTTTTTTTTTGACGATGATGATGATAATAATTGTTTGAATAAATAATAAGTATATAAATAATAATGAGCTTTAGAAGTATATTTTTGGAATGGGATAAATGGAGGGTTCAAGTCAAAAGGCAATGCAATATATTAATGGAAAAGTTTATGCAGAGCCGAGGCTCTAAACAATATAATTAGAGCCTACCTAAAAAATTTTACTAGAAGAGGTTGTTTTGATGCCCAAATATCCTCAAATTGATCATCTTGACATCAAGATGCATGGAAATGAGAAAAAAATTGATTTCAAGTTTGGAAATAGGGTATTTTGTACCTTATTTTTGGACCGTCAGTTTTCAATACTTTCAAGTTTTCATAGATCTCTTGATCTACGCTATTTTTGAAGCTTTAAACTTTATAAATAAAGATGAAAATATACTTTAAGGCTATCAAAAAGATTTCTAATATTGAAACCACATTTCTCGACCATATTTAAAAGTACGCTCTAATTTGATCGTTTAAAGACTAGGCCGTATACAAACCGCACCCATATATTAATAGGGAAGGGATGCGTTCTAAGCTAGTTCTCTTGTGCTATAAATGAAGGTTGACGGTGAGTCCAATGCAAAATACGAGGACAATGATACATGATGATCGTTACTCTTGAGAGTGGTTTGGGACAAGGACCTGGGAGGATATACAAAAAGGAAAATGGTTTGATACGGCTGCAGCCCTATTAAAAAAAAGTAAAGCCTCACTTCAAAAGTTACTGGATATTGCAGTTTTGGTGTCGAAAAACTTTCAAATCGATAATTTTGGCCTTGATATTATGGTTGTGAAAATAAATAGGATTTCAAGTCTTAAAAATAATATATATTGTAATATATTATCTAGACCGTCCATTTAGTCCTAAAAGTAAGTATTTATGGATCCACAAGATCTATATCATATTTTGAACTTCAAATTTCATAGTTGGCGTCAGAAATTAATTTTAGAGCTGTCATAGAGATTTCTGATGCCGAAAGTGCTTTCTGAACAAGAATTTAAGGTGGGACATTACTTTGTTTTCATAAAGCCTAGTCTCTATAGAAACCACATCCATACA